TTGTTTTCATTAGACACAACGAAATCTTCGTTTACATTCATTCTATTTATCCTAATTTATTCTTACATTCCGTATTAGGATGTTCAGTTGCAATACTCATGTCTATCCAAAATTGTGTTACCATTGCCTTATTCTTCCTGTTTCTTCTTTTCACCTTCCGCCTATTTAAATTATTGTCTTCTTTTCAGAGCAAAAAAACAACCTAGCACATTCACAGAAATAATCATAACATTAACTACTTTATTTATTAACTTTCCATGTTTTGTTTTGTATCACATTATTATATAAAAGTTTATTTCTTTGATTATAAAATACATGAATACTGTGTTCAAATTAATGTTTTAAATTTATGAATGTACTAAAAATAGTAATGAATTATTTATGAAAGATAGGAATGTAAGCAACAACGATTGATCATTCTAATCTTACATAAAGTGGAGAAATATCTTTTGCACCAAAATTAGATTTGTTTCAATATGAATACAAAGAAATGCTCGAATCGAATGATGAACTTTTTATTTAAACAATTAACTTGAATATAATCACATGAATAATATATCATTCATAGTTATCTAATGAGCAACTCCATATAAGTCACAACCGAAATACACATAACCTGCTCAGTTGAGATCGTCTGATTTTATTTATCTTAATTTATATTGTAGAGGAAAGAGTTCTGAGTTTTTTTTGGCGCAAGCCGTTTAAAAAAAATATTAAATCCTCGCTATTTTATAAGCATTTTACAAAATACTATACATAACAAAATTGACAAACAGGGATTCAAATCAGATAAAGTTTCGGGAACGACTGAACTGAAGTTTTACTCATACAGATATTTGCATAAAACTTGTTCACCATCTTAGTGCTGTGGGTGTGCGTGAGTGTGAGCCTAGGTCTGGGTGTCCGAGTAAGGTTAATGTAATACCAACACTCACACTCACACCCCTACTCACGCCCACACCCTCAAGATGGTTTTTTTCCGTTAGAAGAAACTTTCATAAGAAATAACATAAAAAATCCAAATGTTTTGAAATGTCTTTTTTATTTTTTGCATATATTTTGATCATCGCATATACAATATCATAACCAGATACCAATCCAATGATAGATGAAAACAATACCAAACTAATTTCTGATATAAATATATAAAGTACATTTTCAAGTAAAGAAACAATCGATGTAATGAAAGTAGTAATTAATATGATCATCGAACCACCATAAACAAAATTAACCAGATTTGTATTTAATAATCCAAAGCCAGGTCGAACAATCCGGCACGGAAGTGGCCAGCTCCGTGATATTCCGAAGATTTCATAGAAGCAGTATTCTTGTTGAACGGATCCGGTGATCTCACTTCTCCATTGGAGTCCTGGCATTTTCCGAACGGGTTCCGCTCAGAAATGACGAGTTTCCCCAGGGATTCTGCCAGAAATTCATGGAATCCTGCTTTAGGAATCATCGTCCTAGTTAGATGTTTAATATTATTTTAAAGTATTTGATTGATGTATTCTGTGCACGAACAGCTAATTGCATTTCAATGATTTTTTTTCTAATATATTGTAGCTAGAATCAGTGGTGTGGGTGTGGATGCGAGTTCGGTTGTAGGTATAATAAAAAACAAAGTCGACGTCCACACCCACCCGCGGAGAAAATGAGTATTTTACGCCTTTACACGATTGAAAAAAGATGGATATTCAAAAATATATGAGTTTAAATAATCATGATACAGCTCATTTAATACTGTTAAAGATGCAAGTTTCTCCTACCCATTAAAACGCCCAAATATTAAAGATTAGATAAATTTAGGCGCGTCTCCTTAAATAGAACGCATTATATCACACATGTAAAGCGACAATATTTTTATCAAATTCGCAAACGTAAAATTTCATGTAAAAAACACTCATAATTCTTCCTATTTTAACTTTTACACGGTAAAATTTTTATCATCAGTTGCGGAAAAAATTTATGAAAAGAAAACATTTATTATTTATTCTATTTTGTAGTTCGCACGGTTAAATTTTGTATCATCAGTTACGGAAAAAATTCATGAAAAGAAAACATTTATTATTTATTCTATTTTGTCGTTTACACAGTAAAGTGTTTATCATCAGTTACGGAAAAAATCTAGGAAAAAGAAAATTGAAAGTTTCAGTTACAGAGCCTTCACACGATGATTATTACCAGTGCAAAATCTGTTATTTATAATCCGAAGATAAAACTCATGACATATCAACGTTCTGAGCATTTAAACGTTTATGAGCAAAAGTACGGGATTAAACGATAAAAAAGCGATTCTGTACGCGTTTACACACCAGTTTCTATCAATTGAAAAAATTAATCGTATTAATATCCAAAAATGAAATTATACACAATAATCTTAGTTTGTAATGCATAAACCAGTATGCTGAACCGCACAACATATAGCAAAGGCTTGTTCATCACCATTCAGAATGCGGTTTAGAAATATAATCGCCAGTTACTTTATTCTGTATAACTGAACGCCATTACATATAAAGAAAAAAAACTGTTTCTTTTTTCTTCTCTTCATTTGATGGTGACGATTTTAATTCCATAAATAATTAAAGAAACTAAGCTAATATTTTCTCCTTGTTGTTACTCTACTCGTTTTGTGTATGTGTACTAGTCATGATTGCAGTTATTTTTGCACACAAACCTGACTAACAATCTACAGCTCTTTTTTTGTAGTAGTTAAATATTAAACGAGAGAGCTGGAGAAAATGAAAAGAGAGAGAAACAGCAATGTTAGTAACGAGAATATTTCTAAAAAAAGTTTAAAAGATCAAGTCATAAAAGATGTTTTGGATATTTTTTGTTTTACTGGTAGTTTCTACTGGTGATTGCAGTTCTATCATTAAGATAGACAATAACATACTCATCGGTAATATATCTGAATCATTATGGAATATAACACAAAATCAATGTATATGTGAAATGATAAATTCAGATGGAACAATATCGACATTAAATTATTTTTCAACAAATGAAACTTGTCAATTATTTTATACAAATTTTACTTCGGTCTTAATTGAATTTAATCTCAATTCTTCTTTGATATTTATGAATGAATCAGCAATATTCATAGCACAAGGTAAATATATCATAAATATTGTAAAAATTTCATAGTTTTGTCATTGATTGGTGTATAATTTCAGTGAAGATTATACTAAAAGAAATATTACATAGTTTCACTATCCAAGAAACTAGACATATCTGAAAAAAATTCGTAAGATTTTTTTCCAGTGAAAACCCCATCTTATTTAGTTTGGCGAGTTAGCCATTAGAAAAGAATGTTAATATTATATAGATTCGCCATTCAAATGCATTGTGTCAACCTCACCTTTAGATTGATACTCACATTCACCAATCTAGACGAGTTTTTAATCGATGAAAAGATTCATTTATCTGTTCTAAGTGTTCGATTTAATAGTTAAGTTAGTGAAATATTACTTTTGATAGATGCAACAAGCTTAATATGTCGAAAAGAGATCCATTTGTGACTGTATGTTCATAAATGTAAGCCGGTTGAATATACCACGGCCATCAAATCACAAAAACGCATTTTTAGTGCTTAAAAAGTTTTGATGCTCAGCAACTGTTGTCGGGGTTGTTCTTATCTAATTCCTGAATGACAAGTGTTTTATCATCATTTTCCCATGCAATGCTGTATTTAGTTTGAAACTGAATTTAGAAAAAAAATAGAGTCGATTCCAAACTGAGGGTGTGGGTGTGGTTTGAGAATAATACTCTCAGCTGCATCCACACCCACCCACCCATCATTTAGTCTTACTCTAAAATCATTTTTTCAAAATAGAACCGACGACGACATCGACATCAACAACATTATCGTTAACATCATCCTTATTCGCAGTATCATCAACAACATCATCATCAGCAACAACATCATCATCAGCAACAACATCA